TTTGTTACAGCAGCCACAGGAAACTAATACACTCCCTGCCATTACTCTTGGATGTTCCTTAAACTTTTGTCATCTCCTTGGGTTGTATGCTTCTCTTCTATTTCATCTATATAAACATCATTTGTGTTTCTATAAAACACATTCCCCATGTTTTCTTATAACATCCGAGCTCTTCAAACTGATATCCATGCTTCATGCTGGTCTCTTTGAATGCCATCATTTAGAGGTTAGCAAGCATAAAACATTGTTAGGACAGATATATAATGATTTTCAAATGTCTTTCTACTTGGCTTTTCAAATATTGATGGTTCATGAATACTTACCAGCTATTCTTAAAATAGGAGATCTTTTGTTCAGTAAATTAAAATGTTTTGTGTGCTAGAAGTTCTACTGGTGCCAGTAGACACAGTGAGCTAATAGCTCAGGGGAGAGGCCTTTCTGGGAGGGGAGGAGTTCTCTGTAGCTCCTGCAGGTCTCCCCTCCAGCATTCTGCACAGGATGGACAATTGCATGCCTCTTTTGAATAACCCTATGAGAACCGGGTGCTTGGGTGGGTCCTACTGTAACAGCAACAGAGAATTCGTGTTTACTTATATCTCTTTCCCTGTTCCTCTTTAGTTGAAAAAGCTATTTCTTGTTGTCACCTGTCTAATGTTCAAATAATCAAGTCTTAGAAAAGTTACTGCATTGTAGAAAAGTCTAAAACAACCCCTGTATAATTTACGTGTCTGCTGAGCATAAAAAGTTATCACATGTTGAAATGATTTCAAAAGGTGTATGTACAGAGGAATAACTTATTACCATCAAGTTTACTTAATTTTTGCTCTTATGCTGTGAAGGCTGTTAACCATATCTGGGTGTGAGGAAGGGGAGTCGGGTGGGAAAGGACAGAGACGTAGCTGAAAGGGAGGTGGGTGAGGAGAAGCGAGGGGCGATAGGGAAGGGTGCACAGAGGAGAAAGGAGGCAGGTTTGACCCAGACCCCCAGCTGCTTATCCTCTGAATATCAGAACTCATTGAAATGCTGTCGGGGGAGGGGCAGGGAACAGAACTTGCAGAAGCGTGAAGTTCAAGAGTCCTAATATCCAATTCTACTCATTTTCAAAACTGCAACACCCAGTCCTGTTCAGTTCCTAAAGCCCCACCTTCAGATTCGCATGTGCCTGTCTTCCAACATGGGACGTCTTCTTTCTCTAGTGAGATGGAGCTAATTTATGCCACCACATGCTTCAGAAATACTTAACCTTGTTATCTGATAGCCATGTGTTTCCCCGCTGAGGTAGGAGGAGCTGTCTCGCCTCTTTTTCACTGTGAAAGAGATGGACAGTTTGCACCAAGAGGGTCCTCGGCTGTTGGGAGTGACAGTTGTAAGGGAACTAATGGGCGGCGGCCCGGCACAACCCAGAGGGTGCTCAGACTCCCCTCCCAGAGCCTAGAACCAGTAGCGTGCCAGTGCCCCTTGCACTCTTCTATGTACTTCCAGGATTCTTGACGAGCTAAACCCAACCTATTCATGGATAATCTTCAAGGCAAAATAACAGTGGAATAATGCAAGGCTTTTTTTTATTTCTCTGTTTCTCTTGTGTTCTCGAAGGTCTACCTTCCTATTATTTCATCTTGATACCCGAAGTCTCAATCACCAGGCAGCTCCTGTATTCTGAGACATGCATGGATTTCTTTACTAAGCATCCACTTAGGCAGGGCATTCAGCCTTGTGGAGAGCGCAGCATAGGAGCCTTGATCCTAGGGAGGGGCCAGTGCCCCACACCTGCAAGAACTCTCTTGTGACAATGTGCACCTACAGCACCCTTGACAACAGACAAGGGTTAGAGCCATGCGGGAAAGGCAGATCAAGGGCGCTGTCAGCACTGAATGTCGTCATCAGGGACACCTTCCAGGAGGAGTGGAACGGGAGCAAGGGAAACCACACAGCAGGACCGGGTCCCGGGAGAGGCCAGGGAGGCACGTGCCTCTGGTGCAAAATTTAAGGGGCTGCCAAAAAAGCTCGAGTAGTCAAGATAAAGCAAGCATATTTGAATGCAATTGTTTTTTAAAATCACAATTAACATGGAAAATTAATAATGAACAAAATGTCAAAATATTAAAAGAAGACAGGATTGGTACTACTCAGGCTCTGAGAGGGCTCCACATGGGGCCTGCAAGTGGGGAAGGGAAGGAGACAGCACTGGTGAGAGTTAGGAGGGTATTGATAAAATAATGAAAAACTCACACAATTCCTCGAGGCAGATAAGCTTGGCTGGGACAGAGATTTAGGAAAGAGGATATCAGAAATTAAAAGGTGACATGCAGAAAGAGATGTGAAAGTCATTGCGAGGGGGGATAAAGAGTCACAGTGAGAACGAACAGGCAAGATTTGTCATAAGGGATTATCAAAAAAGATGGGATGTGTTCCGTAAAAGTGAATGTAGCAGCAGAGTGTAGGGTAGATTGAAAAGGGCAGGGATTTCCTTTAGGAAGCCAATTAGGACAAATATGGGTTAAACAGAGGCGTCCGCTGAGAAGCAGCTGGGGAATGGGGAAAGAAACATTTCCAAAAGATGTTGTAGATGAAAAGCACGGTAGAACCCAGTCATTTGTATGTGGGAACAAAGAAGCAAAAAAGGCTGGACATCTGCCTGCCTTCTGGGTGGATATCAGCCTAAACCACCCAGGAAGGGATCTCTGGCAGTAACTGTCACAAAGGTTCTGGAGTAGCACTACAGCACAAGGTGGGAGAGCCACATCTGGGGGCCTTATGTACATGGGAGATTTGACCGCAGTTGAAGCAAAGGGCTCAAGAGTAGGAGCTCAGAAATCACGAACTAAAGGACAAGAATTTGGTTTTTAGTGTTTCTCAGAAGTGTAGCGCTGTTTTTATGTTGGCATGATGAGCCTTCGTCACATGGGGCTGCTCTGTGCCTCCCATATGGCAGTTTAAGTTCTTATCCCTTGCCCCTCTCCTCATCTTCTCTCCCCCATTAAACACCGGTAGCACCTCTCATCACTGGGACCACTGGGAATGGCCCCACACATATCCAAACTACCCCCACCACCTGTCCCCTGCCCCAGGATGTGGTTTCTGACCCTCCAACCCAGGCCCATGGAGAACTCTGGGGAGGAAGAGAAGCCGGGTTCAGGGAGAGAGTTATCCAAGAGATACCAAGATATAATCGTGTGGCAGAAAACCCAAAGGCAAAAAGATTCCCAAAGTGAGGGTGATCGATGGTGTCAAGTGTAGCAGAAAGATCAATGAATAAGGACACCCTGACAAAACAGAAGACAACTGGGGAGGTGTTTCCCATCACCCCATCAGTTACTCCGAAACACTTAGGTGTTGTCCTGTGTGGTCAGTAATGGGACAGCTGGACTTTCTCAGGCAGGGTCTCACTTTTATGTTTCATTGTTACACTCTTGTTCACACAGTCATGCAAGCCAAGAATCTAGCTCTACTAAAAATGCCAGATATTTAATATACATATTATTTGTGTAAGTGATTGTATACATGCATGTAATATGGGCTAATTCATGGAAGAGTGTGGTTTTATAAGCAAAAATGTTATCTCACTGTGGTTTGGTTATATATCCACTAATGCCATCTGTGAAGCTATCTGTAGGATGACAATTTTTTCCTTTGCAATTTTTGCTTTTACTTTTTTCTAAATGCAAAGAATATTTTTGTGGGTGTGGTGTGGAAAGAAAAGGGCAACACAATCATTTAAAAATGAACCTGGCCAAATATAAATGGTAATTCTTTTATAATTAAAAGAAGCTGATACCAGTTTCTTCCTTATTTGTCAAGCACTTTCAAAGATGTCTGAGTTCTTGGCCTGCATTTCTTGGTATTGGTAGCTTGTCTTTGGACTTGCATAAACGTTGTGTTATGGTTTCACCTTATAGAATGTTCTGTCTTGGAAGTGAAATGGAGAAGGTAATTTTTTGGTATTATTTTTCATTCTATTTAGTCTAGTCTTGCAGTTGGACACTTAATTTGGCATATGCTCTTTGGAATGAACGTAGTTGTCCATTTCCACTGAGTTCTGTTGGTTGTACTGAATCAAATCAGATAAAATTTTGTGAATTTCTACTTAGTGTTCTATCAAAGTTTCCCCTACATTGTTGGTTTTGGAGTTCTGTATTACTCCTTTATTTCTAGCTACCGTGTTCTCCCCAGATTGGAAAATAAACTCTGGAATAATATTTTTAAACATAAAATACTACCCTTAAAGTTTCTTAATTCATCTTTCTGAATCTCATTTTGTCAACAGAGGTCTTTTTTTCCTTCTAATAATGTTCAAAGCGATCTGCCCTTTTATGAATGCCTTGAGACTGTCACACAAAGCTAACGGTGAGGGAGCAGATGCCTTATTCAATTCCAAATAGAAGGAAATCTGTTGTCTCAAATAATCCCTAAATTCAGACACTTTCAGACAGCTATTATCAAGAGACCACATTCTAAGAGCAGATGTGTTATTAAGGCTGAGAAATGTTATGAGGACTTCGTGATCTGACAAATGATTTCAATCTATCCAACATTCCAACATTTCATCTTTTAATAAATTAGAGATTAAAATATCCATTTTGGGGAGACAAGTTGTGTAAGGTAGTTGGAAACTGGAGTTGTAACTGATGCTTCATTTCCATGGAAAACTCTGTCTGAGTTATGCTCACAGGTCTCTTTTATATAAAAAATATCTGCTCATTTGACTGAAGTGATTATGATGTATTTTAATCTCTGTTTTCAATCCTATGGCTCCCTCCCACAGATACGAAACCCAGCTCCTGCCTCTCAGTGAGGAATGAAGAACAAATGCATCCAGGTTTTCCTTGTCCCACCTAAATGTGTTTGATCATTTCCTTATATCATCCAATTTACCTTTACGTGATTACTTAGAGCCTTTTCAGTGAAGCAATTACTGAAAACTTCTGCTAAGGGCTAATACTCTCCTTTTCTTGCCTGAGTGTGGTTATCTGCTACTAGACCTTTTTCTTTTTTTCTTTTAGGTGCAATAGAGTGCTTACTTTCTTTGGATGATAGATTCTTTTGCTGGGTTCAGGTGAGTCTTTGTACCAGCCCTGTTCAGAATCACAGTGTCCCATCCAACAACAAAGCGTGCATTCCCCAGCACTGTGAACTGCTTGTCACCCAAGGGTTGTACGGATCTCCCCAAAATACCTGTGATGCCGTGGGATTTTTACATAATCCTGTCACTGTCAAATACAATAAAACTTAGATCCAGGTGAACATCAGTTACTGTAGGTCACACAAAAGGCAACAAAGCTACCCGAATTCTCTTCAGGGCTGTCCCCAACTGTATGCACATTGGAATGTATATTCCCCCTGACCTTACAGAGAGTAGACAATAAAATGTTCTTGACCAATTTTATTTTCTTTAATTACTTGGAATGGGCCCCCTGGCTCAACATTTTTAGATGATGCTTTGGTATAAAATTTGGGAGCAGAAATAAATCATCTCCTAACACCCTCTTTCTGACTGATAATACTTTTATCTTTGACCTTAAGAATCAGAATTTGATGGCTAAATTTGGGGGGGGGGCAAATAACATTTATGCTGTAATTTTAAAAAATAATGTCAAATTGTCAAAATCCTAAACATCATAGTGTAGCAAAACACAAAGAATGGAGCCCCATGGTTGGCCTGAGGGGTGACTCTAGTCCTTACTGCCCCCTGGCCTGCAGCGAAGAGAGCCCGGGCTAAGACGAGCATGCACCAGCACAGCAGTGTCACTCTCGCCCTGGTGTCCCTCTTACCAAAACACCTCTGCTTCTACCTGTAACAACTTTGAGCTTTATGGATATCGTCATCGAAACTTGCTCACTTATTTATCCATTCAACATTGGTTTAGCTCCTACTATGTGCAACATGGAATAAATGTGTTCAAAAAGCCTTCAGAAAACAGACATTCAAGGAAACTTATTACAGACCAGAAAAATGGTATAATTGTGATCCGATTGAAGCAAGATTTTTAAGACGACAAGATTGTGTGTAAGAAATTGGAAGAACACTAAAATTGGCAGTAAGCTTGACACTTACAAGCTTTGTGGTTCAGGGCGTGTCACTAAGAACTTTGAACCTAACTCAGATTCTTCACCTGTCTAAAGTGGCCATGACTAAATAAGTATCTACCATGTACAGTCATGTGTTGGGCACTTTTGGGAATCCAAAGATAAATTCGACACAGATTCTCATCCTATTTAACTCCCAGGAGTTAAGAGATCAGACAATTATGACACAATGAAGAAGAAAGATGAACATGAGCTCAGTAAGAGAGGCACAGGTTGCTTCCAAAGTCCAAGGAAGCAGGTGACTATTCGCATTTGGGGATATCAGGAAGAAAAATACATTTGATTTAGGTCTAAAGAGTGAGCAGGATCTGGATGTACAGAAAGAGATCGAATTTTACCCCAGGCAGTGGGAGCAAAAGGAAAAGCACACAGAGGTGATTCTGATGAAGCACTGGTATTTAACGTGAAACTCCAAGCACTTTGGCAGGCTTAAGTTCTGTTTTTCTTTTAGTTTTCTCTTTTGCTATTTCGTTGTTGATTGCTTGCTTGCTAGTTTATTTTTGTGAGGAATTCTCTTGGTCTCATTTCTAGGCCCAAGGGAATGCATCCAAGAAAAGATTTTAAAAGTATGTTGGGGGAGGGGTGGGAAAAAATAATCCCGGACCAGATGAGGGGCCACAGGGCTGGGGGAGAAGTGGACATTGTGAAGAAAGAAGGTGAGGCCAACCCAAGACTAGTATGCGCAGAGGTGCAGAGAGAACCCTGGGAACCTGGGACAGTCCGTTCCTAATGGCATCTGCACGCTCTGTGACAGGTTGGCATCTGTTGAGTCAAAGGAGCCAGGAGGTGGAGGCTGGTGAAGATTTAGAAGCTCCGATGAAATGGGTGGGGAAAGGGGCCAACTGCGGTTATGAGGGAGGATTGCTGAGCAGCCCTGAGGGCCCAGCTAAAATCGTGTGCTTGCAGTGGAGCCAGACAGGATGGCGATCTCCCCTAAAAATCTGAGTGGGAGAAGAACCAGGAGAAAGACACTAAAGCTAGAAGACAGAAAGTGGAAATGTGATGGAACCAGGTCATGGAGCAGGCAGAAGGAGATGGCATTAACAGTAAAATACAGTAAGTGAAAAGGACGGGGCTTCGGGTGGGGGTTGAGGGAGGTCTTGGGGGACTGGGTGGATATTATTTTCTCTGATTAGGAGAGAGGGAGGATTTTCAGCAAATCTTCTCTCTCTGAGGATTAATGTATTGGGAATTCAATTGTGCCTGATCCAATTAAGAATCACAAGAAAGTACACTTTCAAGGATTTTCTTAGCGAACATTAAAATATAATAGGGAGGAAGCATGCAAATAAACCTTTGTGCTCCAGTATGTAAATGCATCTTTAATGTAGCCAACACTTGGAAAATAGTCTAACTCAAGGAGTGCAAATGGATTGAAACGAATAAACCAACTCCTCCTGGTTAATGGTGGTTGCTTGGAGTGCTGGGTTGAAAATTTGGGGGACCAACATGGAACGGTACTGTTGTCAATTTGTGGTGGCTGGTAAGGTTGCAGAAGAGAGTGGGGGACATTTGCCACATACCGTTCACGAAGCATAGCTAGAATATAGAAGTTAGTTTACTCATCAGTGAAATACAATAGTTAACCACATTCCTATAGATTGCAAGTATTTTTTCATTTGTGAAGCCCTTTAAGCTCTTCCATAGTTGACACAACAGTACAAATTATAATAATGGGGGCAATATATTTTGTCAAATGAGTGCTTATTTTTTACCTGAACTAAATGACTATCAGGAGAAATATATGGTTAAAGTGAACTATGTCCATGGAAACATGATTCTAATATCTTTCAAATGCTGAAAGCTTTAAAGACCCTTGCACTTTAATAGGCTGAGAAAAATAAAAAGAAATGCAACGGTTATTTTATATTATCAGGGAAAAGAAGAGGATTTGTGTTTACTGAGACCTGTTCTAGGTCTTTGATGTGTGTTCTCACTAGTCTGCAAGGCAACCCTCTAAGATGGGCAACTGAGTGAGGCTGAAAAAGATGGAACTCTGCTCCAGGGCGGGCAGCTCACGCCTGGAAAAGGCAGAAGGCGAACCGAGGTCTCCCTGGCTTCACGTCTGTTTTCTTTCCCTAACTAGGGAAGAAGAGGCACATGAAAAACTAAAAACAAATGTTAAAACACCATCAATTTTGCATATAATAGAAGGAAGAAATTTGTGGTGATTATAATGCTGGAAATGTACATCTTAACAAATTGCTCCTAATTTTTTAGAGAGGTTTTAAAAAAACACATCTGGGCTTGCTTTAAAAACAGATCAGTAAGAAAGGCAAAATTGTACCAGTGGGTGTTAGCAACTGGTACTGAACTTCCACATATGTGAACCGGAGCAAAGAGGCTCTTTGGTAACACTCAGCCCACCCTATTCGGTGCCTCTTCTCATTTGCTATTAGAGCCTGCATACATGTTCATGCTTTGTCTCGTAACCTCTTGTTAAAATGTGACATTTGTACAGGAAAGCTAGGGCCATAAGCCAGCTGACCGCTAATGAAGGTATTGAGGAAGTAAGGACAAAGTAACAAAGTTGGTTCCTCGGAAAATCCAAAGGCAATGCCAGCTTATAGCTCTGCAGAGGGTGTTTCTGGGGGTTCGAATATAAATAGTTTTCCTAACACAAAAACAAATCTAACATATTAAGTGTTTCATTGGAGGCCCCAATTATGTCTAAAGTTTTGCACAGAGTTTATTTTAAAATCTATCTCGAGAAGCTGGTGGTCCAAATTTTCCCATAGACTTACACATGATGAGAATCTGTCTCTTTATATTTAGCTGCAGGCCACCTAACAAGTTCTTAGGCGAAACACATTATTTTGCTAGTACAAGGAGAATAAATACTGTATTCGGAAAGTTCCAGTGTTCTTCTTTAAAATATCACTGTTTCCATAGCAATAACATAATGTACTAAAGACTAGAATGGTGTTTCTTTAGAAACCACGTGTATGGATGCATGTTTCCATGAAGGGCTTTGAAGCATCTCACCTGCTTGTGGTCCCAAAATGGCACAACAATAGTAATCGAATCAATCATCATCTCATGAAATGAAATGTAGTCAGTGTCTTACTACCTAAATATTCTCAGGCTTCTGCTTGTGGTCATTGATGTTGTACCTTGTTAGATTCTGCTCTAAGAGGATAGAGAATAGATATGTATTCATTCATTAATTCATTTCATCAACAAATATTTATGAAGCACCTACTACATGCCGGGTACAATTCTAGGCCGTTGGGACTCAGTGACATCACAGAACTTACATTCTAATCGAGAAAACACAGAAATTCTCTTTAAACAATAATGTCACATCATGTGCCAATATGCATATAAAAGTGCTCCTTGGTGATGTTAGCAATGTTTTAAATACTTTGCAAGAACACACCGTAGTCAAATAACATATTATTATGAAAAGGTAGGTTTTGTTGAACAGAATTCTTAAAAAAAAGAAAAGAAAAGGTAGGGAATAAGGGGAAAGAGGAGAGAGGACAAGGAACAGTGATAACCGACAGGTGATTCCCAACCTGCTCTGCCAGGGACTCTGAGGAGTAGATCTAGGATGAACCTCACTGGACTAAGGGTCGCAAAGGGTGTTTTAGGAGATTTGGACAGTTAAGGTATTGTAGATAAATATAAAGGCTGGGGGAAGGAGTTCTGTGTGAGGGAGCGTATCTCACACAAATGAGATGAGATTATGATCTTTAGAACTCCCACTAGGTTGGAAGATTCTGTTTGAATTACTACCTCCTCTTTATGTTGTCTTGGACGGCGTTGGGTGCCTCGGGCTTCGTGTCATCCTCCACGTTTGTTTTGTGTGCTCATTTTGCCCTGATCAGCCCCACCTTGCTCTGTGTCCCCAGCTCCGACTCCCAAAGCCTTCCTGGGGGAGTGAACGGGTGGCGGGAATGTCACTGAAAAGGTCACCTCTCTGGTTAACTAATGGCCGTCTGGCATCTGGCAAAGGGGACGCAGGTCACAAATGTCTCCATGCTGGGCCCGTCACTATTCAGAGAGAGAACAGTAAAAGGATCAGAGAGTCCCCGCCCCCTCCCCGAGGCCACACATCTTTGTCTCCTACACAAGACTTCACTGTGCTTTCTGCAGCAAAACCTTGAAATACTTAATGTCTTAAGACACCCACATCTATCTGCCCTGTGCAAGGTCCTTTTGTGCTGCAGCCTCGCTGGGGCCCTGGTCGTAAGCAGACGGCCACCTCTCGAGTCTCCCAGACACGGAAAGGTCTGACTTACTGTCCACAGCGCGTCAGAGAGCTGCGGGTTGCAGACACTTCTCAAGCCACCCTGGGAACAGAGCGAGCTTCGTGGGCCAGACGTGGGGTCACAGAGTCAGGGAGGTTCTGGGGGCGGCCACCCTTCCTTCAGAATCAGACAAGTTGACCGGCTACCCCAGATGCCTTCCTAGACTCTGCTAATAAATCAGTGAGCAGCAAGGTCACAAAAAGAGTGCCGAAATGTAAGCACAGATTTTCAAGGAAAGCATTTCAAAGTTTTGCTTTTGCCCCCAGCAGCGCCAGAAATCCTGGGGGTGGGGAGGGAATCTGCCTCCATCAAGGTGAACACTGGGTTGCCAACCACCCAATTCTTCTCACCACTGTGATTCTACCCAGATGTTCTTTCTTAAATACAGAGGCATCATTTTCTTGCCAAGAAATGGAATGATTGATCAAGCCTTCTTTAAACCATTTCATCTTATCCATTCCCATCCAAAGAAGCAGATATTACATTAATATTAATATCTTATTGTCTCCCTTGAGAGAGAAATGCTCCCCTAACCCCCCTCCCAATTACTGCCAGCACTATGGGGATATGCAGTTAGAAGAGGAAGCTACCACTGCAGGGGCTGCAGTTGTTTTATTAGCAACAGCTGGTGGCAGTCCCATGCCCCCGTTTTTTAAAAAATGCTATGCTTGTCAGATGCAGCTTCTTGAAACTGGATGGCAAAGGGTGAGACAAGAACACGGCACGTTTCAGCTTTTGCATGCAGGAAAGGGGATTTATGCTAAAGAGGGCGCGGGCAGCATTCAGATGCTGCTTAAGAAACTTTACAAAAGATTATTTGCTCTCGATACTGTGTAGGTAACATTTGAGCAATTAGACAAACATGTCAGGTAACTGCAACCACCTGTAGGATTTTAAAAAAATACTACATCTTTCCTTCTCATTCGTCCAAGATGCTTTAATAGGAAGAAAAATGTGGGCTGCACATGTCTTACATTTATCTTTATTGTAACTTTACGTATGTTTATGATCAAGGGTGGAGTTTGCAACACCAGGGCTCCTTCTGTGTTGGAAACAGTTGACCATCAAAAGGAAATCTGTGCCATTTGCCCAGAGGAGAAATAAATCTTCCTTTACTCACGTTCGCCCTGGTTCCTATCTAAAAAAACCAAATGGACACCATTTCATCTTATTTCATGTTTGGAATTCCAGGTAGCCTTTCAGGTATCTCAAATTCACATATGGAATGTGTATTTGACAAACTTTTGGCTGTTTAAACATGTATCCTTTGTAGTTGTAGCAATTTTTTTCATTTATTTTTCCTAATCTGATCAAAATTGGATGAATTTCATGTATGTATTAAATTACTGAGCACATACCATACTGTCAGAGTTATGCAGCCATCTCAATTTCATAACATACCAATGATATATCGTGCAAATAAGAAAACATGAATTTCAATAAGAAAACATGTTATAAATATTAGTAGAAAAAGGATACAGTTAAGAAATGTCTTGCTTGCTCAAGTCTATAAATAATAACTGTTGGGGACGAAATGGTTAACATAGTCCCAAATGTGCATCCGTGATCTGCCTGCCTCCTGGGGAGAGATCTAGAATAATGTCAAATAGAAAGAAATATTGGGTGTCCTCCTTATTTCTTTTATGTGTAACAAATTTAAGACATATATTTCTTCCTTATGGATCAAATATTCTTAAAAATAAAGATCTTTAAATGTAATAGTAACACTTGTAGGACTTGTAAGACTTGTAGGGCTAATGTTTGATGCATCCGTGGAATCTTATAAAGATCAGTAACAATAACACTGGAAATGCATGTTCCCTCTCTAGAGAGAGATGATTCATGGACTGTGAATTTTCTGTTTCTCTCTTTATGGTCAGATCATCAGGAAGTTCACTGTAAAGAAAGAAGATAACCAAAAAAAAAAAAAAAAAAAAAAAAAAAAAAAAAGTTCCTCTTGCTGCTTCTTACCTAAAAAAAAAAAAAAAGAAAGAAGATAACCCTGCTGTTGGCAGCTGTGGCCTGTCTATATGATATTTCACTAGGTACAGACCTACAGGAATTTAGTTGCTTCTTTTTTTTTCAGCATATTATAGGGGTACAAATTTTAAGGTTGCATATAGTGCCCTTGCCCTCCCTCCCCCAACAAGTCTGAGCTTCAAGCGTGATCATCCCCAGACGGTGCACACATCTCACTCATTATGTATGTATATACCCGTCCCCTCCTCCCCCTTCCCACCTGCCCAATACCCAATAAATGTAATTCCTATGTGTCCACTTAGGTGCTGATCAGTTAATACCAATTTGCTGGTGAGTATATGTGGTGCTTGTTTTTCCATTCTTGGGATACTTCACTTGCACTCGAATGTTTATAGCAGCACAATTCACAATTGCAAAGTTGTGGAAACAACCCTATTTGCTTCTTTTTTCTCCTTCCATTCTTTTTTAAAAATGTATTTATTTTATTTAAATTGACACAAAATTGTATGTATTTATCATGTGCAACATGATATTATAAAGTACGTACACACTGTGGAATGTTTAAATCCAGCTAATTAACAAATGCATTATCTCACAGTTAATCATTTTTGTGTAAGAACACTATCCACTCTCAGCATTTTTCAAGAATACAATATATTGTCATTAACTATAGTCACCATGCTGTAAAATAGTGTTCTTGACCTTATTTCTCCTATCTAACTGAAAATATGTATCCTTTAACCAACGTCTCCCTATTCCCCCACCCAGCCAATCGAGCCCCTGGTAATCACCATTTTACTCTCTACTTCTATGAGATCAACTTTTTTTAGATGCTACATGAATGAGAACATGCAGTATTTGTCTTTCTGTGCCTGGCTTATTTTACTCAGCATTATGTTTTCCAGATTTATCCATATTTTCCCAAATGATGGGATTTTATTCTTTTTATAGCTGAATACTATTTCATTGTGTATATATACCACATTTCCTTTATTCATTCATCTGTTGATGAGCATTTAGGCTGATACCATATCTTGGCTATTGTGAATAATGCTGCAATAAACATGGAGTACAGATATCTCTTCTACATACTGATTTCCTTTGGATATATATGCAGTAGTGGGATTGCTGAATCATATGGCAGACCTTCATACTGTTTTCTATAATGGCTGTACTAATTTACATTCCCACCAACAGTGTGTAAGTGTTCCCCTTTCTCCACATCCTTGCCAGCATTTGTTATCTTTTGTCTTTTTGATAGTAGCCATTCTAACAGGAGTGAAGTGATACCTCATTATGGCTTTGATTTGCATTTCCCTGATGATTAGTGATGTTGGGCACCTTTTCATATACCTGTTGGCCATTTGTATGTCTTCTTTTGAGAAATGTCTATTCAGGTCTTTTGCCTATTTTTAAAATTGGGTTGTTTGTTTCCTCGCTATTGAGTTGTTTGAGTTCCTTATATATTTTGGATATTAACTCCTTAGATGTATAGTTTGCAAATATTTTCTCCCATTCTGTAGGTTGTGTCTTCACTATGTTGAGTGTTGTTTTAGTTTGGTGTAATCTCATTTGTCTATTTCTGCTTTTGTTGCCTGTGCTTTTGAGGTCACATCCAAAAATCATTGCCCAGATCATTGTCACAGAGCTTTTTCCTTATGTTTTCTTCTATTAGTTTCATCATTTGGGGTCCTATATTTAAGTCTTTAATTCATTTTGGGTTGATTTCTGTATATGGTGAGAGATAAGACCTTGTCTAATTTGTAGGTTGCTTTGGGTAGCATATGCATTTTAACAATATTTATTCTTCCAATCCATGAGCACAGGATATCTTTCCATTTATTTGTGTCTTCTTCAATTTCCTTCATCAATGTTTTATAGTTTTTAGTGTAGAGATCTTTCACCTCCTTTGTGAAGTTTATTCCCAAGTATTATTTTTTGTAGCTATTGTAAATGGCATTATTTTCTTGACTTCTTTTCACTTCTTTATTATAACTTACAAAACACAGCTTTTCAGGAGGAATAATGCACTGCATCCTAAAGAATATTATTTTTAGATACCCTAAAAATTATAGTAGTAGACAGATAATGTCTCCCCAACCTACCCATCAAAGATGTCTGCATCTTAATCTCTGAACAGGTAAATATGGTACCTTACATAGCAAAAGAGATTTTGCTGATGTGATTAAGTTAAGGGTTTTGAGATAGGAAGATGACCCTGGATTATCTAGATGGCCCAGCATAATCACAAGAGTCCTTAAAAGTGGAGGAGGGAGGCAGAATAGGAAGGAGTCAGAAGGAGGTGTGACTACAGAAAAACAGTCAGAGTGATGTGATGTGAGAAGGACTTGACTCATGGTTGCTGGCTCTAAAAGTGGAGAAAGGAGGTCATGAACCAAGGAATGTGGGCAGCCTCTAAAAACTGGAAAAGGCTAGGAAATGGATGCCCCACTAAAGTCTCCAGAAAGGATCAGAGCTGTGCGGATGCCATGATTTTAGCTCAGTGAGATCTGTCCTCTGGAACAGTAAGACAATAAATATGTTTTGCTTTAAGCCACTAAGTTTGTGGTAATTTGTTATAGTAGCAATAGGAAACTAATCCACTTGTGATACATTTGACTTTTTTTTTCTGAGGACTGTATTTGGAATTAATGACTCAGATTGCCTCCAGAGCATGTTGTATCGGGAAAACTCACCAAGACTCAAACTGAGGCAGAGAAAAAAATGGACATGGAAGGATGAGGATGTGGCCTAAGTGAGTAAGTGTAGCAAAACTATTTATCATTGTAATTATATTTTCTGACAGTCCCTCAGAGGAAGCCGTGATTTTAGTTTCAAGAAATGGTGTACCTTGGGTTGGCATTACTGACATTTGGTTTTATTTAGAATTTAAAGAGAATGACAATATGCTTTCATGTTAATGATTTAGCAGACAGTAATACAAAATCTGAATTTTAATGCCTCCATTTTTGGTTAATATGTTTATCTCACAACGAACTAAACAGACAACAGCAAAATCAGTATCTTTAATGTTATGCAAGGGCCATCTTTTAAATCTGTGGGAGAAGTCTTGATCAAACAGTTCCTTTTTGTTTCATTCTCTTTCATCAGGGAAGTTAGAGGTGGAAAAGACCTACTAGATCATAAATTAATGATCCTGTGTTAATGCAGATGTCCCCACTAATTAACAAAGGAAAGTAAAATGCAAAGCTTGAATATATCTAAACACTTTTCAGTCTAGGAGAAATATTAAAACTTATTAGCGCATTCCTAGACAAAATTTGTTCGTGTTTTACACAAAAAGTAGACTCATAAAATCCTGACCCTAAATCTTAATGTCAGGATTCTTTTTAAATAGAGTTTCTCCCTAATTGGAGGAAAGGCAGAATTGGGCAACCTCAAACCAGACAGAGGAAATTCTCATGATGCCATGTCACTAGACAGAGTCACTGCAGCTGCCTCTTGTTTTTCCCCAACCCCTTTGCCAATTACTCTGATTTCCTTCTAGTGGTGGAGTCCAGACACAGCACTGAGAGCTGTAGGCCTCAGAAAAGATGCACCACCTGAATGGGGGTTATATCTTCATAAAATAGGACACGTAGAAATGGAAGCAATGAGAATCAGCATAAGTGAATATGGAAGCCACGTGTCTTTGATGACCTAGCCTCAGGAATTATGCGCCATTATTTCTGAGATATCCCATTGGTAACACGGGTCACCACTACTTAGTGTAGGCAGGGACAACATAGGGCATGAATACTAAGTGAGAATCACAGAGAACCATTTTAGAGGCTGACTACCACACAGTGGATTATCTTCCTTCAACGACGTTGATGAAGTTTGGCCCTTTTGACTTCAAGCTCCCAAAGTACTTCCTTCAGAACTGGAATATTTACCGAATTGTCTGCCCTCATTCTCTTCTTTCAGAGTAGCAGCACCCATAATCACGAAGGTAGGGCCTTGAATGGAAAGATCAATATCATCATTACAGGAAAAATTATCCACCAAGTAAGTCAAGCCCATGAATAATCTCTTCAGTGTTCTAAGAGAGAGCTTTTATCTTTCCTCAATACAAATAAGCAAACAAGAAGACACTTTCTGCTTGAGGTTAAACCGAATACTCAAGACTTGCCATTTGGAAAGTCACTGAACTTATATGGATTAAGGAAGAATGTCATAGCCTCTTACATCCTTGACAAAAGTCCCGCATGTAGTTAATGGATAATTTAAGGCTCGTATCCTGATGAAATTGACAAAAGTTAAGCAGCAGTGGACACAGTTTCAAAATTGTTGGCTAAGTCTTAGAGGTGAGCACGTGCCAATGTCAAAAGCCATGAGACACAATGAGATGTTGTGGTTCTTTATACACCAAAGAAGCAAAACCAGGTGTATTGGTGCCAAGCATGGCATGTGCTTCATAAGTTCAAGTATCGAGATTTTGTATCCAAGTCAGACTTTTGTTTGGCAAACAAACTCTTTTATGATTTGGGGGGATGTCAATGGTCTTTGAGGTTTCAAAAAAAGACTTACAAAATAAGAATTCTCTGATAGTATGCATGTGCAGCTAGTGGACAAAAACCAAGAGCTAGATACATTGGAAAATGTCAGTAAGTATCTTCATGGGAAATGGTTTATTAATCAATTCTTTCATGACCTTCATCAAACGATTAAAAGAAATGCTGGTGATTCTTCAGTGGATGGCTTTATTTGACAGAGTTACTGTTTTACTATCCCTTCTTTGATCCAAACTACAAGTCTTTTGACCATTTTCCAGGACACATGGTTTCACAATTGTGTGTGAGGTATTTTCCTTAGGAATATTATAAGTATCTTTGAGAGTTATATGAGAACAAAGTCTTTGTGTTGAAGCAAAGCTGCATTATGGTAAGGTTACAACCAAAAATACCCACCTTGCCTGATGTATTGAGAGGATGGACAGTTTTGTTGGATTTGTGTTTCTACTAGGACAATCTAGGCCACATAGGAACACTGTGGCTTTGTATCTCATGATGTTCAACAGTGAAAGTAGGGACAAAGACATGGAAGACTTATCATTTGTTTATTTTCCATGACATTTTCCCCAACTGAACTTGGGGCTATGTAAAAAGGTAGAAAGTCGGGTTATATTTTCTTTCATTATTATCTATAGGAAACGAATCTAAGTGCCATATCATGGTAATGATTATTTAGGCCTTACCTGACCATATACAACAGCACCTCTTGCACTTGTTTGAAGCAAAATGATACTATAATAATGTGGTTGATATGAAATCCTATTTTTTAAGTGAAAGAAATTATCAAAGTAATGGAAATGCAATTCAAAGAAAAATAATATTCTCCTAAGGCTCACCTGTGAATTTCCTAGGAAACCTTGCCAGATTCATTTGGTTTCTTATCTTTTCTCCACCAGACTGAGTTTCTTGTGGGATTTAATCTCTTTGTCCCCACAAACTTATTTCTTATGCTAACCACGTAAGGTAGAAATTACTTACTATGCTTTATGTACCACCTATCTAAATCTCAGAGCAATTAGCTAACAGTGCCAGCCCCATGGTGTATGCTCATTAAAAATGTGTTGAAGAAATGAATGAATGCAAGCATGAGAAAAATAGCTTGTCTGAGCATTTCCATTACTAGCTAAGGAAGAGAATCCCTTGACAGAGATATTCCAATATAACTTGCAGACAATCTTTTATATTGTCCATGAGTATGTCAGGGAATCAGAATTTCAAGGATGATGAACTTGGAATCAAAGGACCTGGGTTCAAATTTAATCTCTGCTACACACTTGCTGGAAAATAGGTTTCTGCTCCTTAATTTATTCATTCATTCTGTAAGCACTTGTTGCTTCTCTGGTTATACCAATCATGATGCTAGGAATATCAATTAATTTTTATGGGCCTTGATTAACTCATATGTAATATAAGAACATTAATATGACTTTTATAAGATTACTATAAGGATTAAATATGGTGAAATAACATTTGAAAGTATGTAGATCCTATCACATTTTCCAACATGTAGTAGGTGCTTAGTAAAATCTGAATACATATTCAATGAGATTAACCAACTCCCTTTACTCTGACTACATTCACCAAACATGCTACTTTCCAAGCTCATTTAATTTCTTTTTATTATGTGCCAAAGCATCTTTTTTTTTCTTTTCTTTTCTTTTTTTTATCTCAAATTCTGTGGGTACAAATATTGTTAGGGTTACATATCTTGCCCCTGCCCCCTCTCCCCACCCCACTCTGCCAGAGCTTCAAGCGCGTCCAGTCTCCAAGTGGTGCGCCCTGCACCCACCATGAAAATGAGTACCCTTCCCCTTCTCCCCCCTTCCACCTGTTCACCTCCCATTAACAATTTTTTTTTAGACATTTTGGTTACAGTGTGTTTCTTTGCCTCTCCCTAAAAAGGGATAGAGGTAATCCTTTCCCCCTACAATGCTCATCACATCCTTAAGATGTGGGTCTCCCCTCCCCCCCAGATCCCTGTTGAACACTACAATTTTTTGAGCACCATAGTTTTAGTCTGTCAGTACCAATTTGATGGCGAGTAGATGTGTAGCCCATTTTCCAGGTCTTGTGTCGTCTTGCTTTGTATTACAGGCTTAAGCTTAATCCAGGATAGCATAAACAGTGCCAGTTCACTGTCGTTTCTTAGGATTGAGTAATATTCCATTGTGAGTATATACAACAGTTTAGTTATCCATTCATGAATTGACGGGCACTTGGGTAGTCTCCATGACCATGCAATAGTGAATTGTGCTGCCATAAACATTTAGGTGCAGATGTCTTTGTAATAGAGTGACTTATGCTCTTTTGGGTAGATGCCCAACAATGCTATTGCTGGGTTGAATGGTATTTCTATTTCTAGTTGTTTGAGATATCTCCAAATTCTTTTCCACAAAGGTTGCACTAATTTGCAGTCCCACCAGCAGTGTAAGAGTGTTCCTGTCTCTCCGCATCCTTGCCAGCATTTGTTGTTTTGGGATTTCTTGATACAGGCCATTCTCACTAGGGTTAGGTGGTATCTCATTGTGGTTTTCATTTGCATTTCTCTAATGATTAGAGATGTTAAACATTTTTTTAATATATTTGCAGGCCATTATTCTGTCTTCTTTGCAGATGTTTCTGTTCATTTCCATTGCCCACTTCTTGATGGGGTTGTTTGATTTTTTCTTGTTTATTCTTTTAAGTTCTAGATAGATTCTTGGTATTAGACCTTCATCAGAAGTGTAGAGAGCGAATATTTTCTCCTACTGTGGGTTTCTCATTTAATTTCTTGAGAAAACTTTTGACTAAAAATGAAAAGTACGTAAAAAAATGATGCAATGTTCTCATGTTAAGTGCAGCTATGTCTCCATATAATTCTTTGTTTAAAAATCATATGAATGTATGTGCATGTGTGTGTCCATTTGATTATTGTGAGTCATTTTCGAGAGCCTATCACTTCTCCATGAACTAATGTGAAATAGCCAACTTTCTTGACTTATAAAATTAAGGACGAGACCTGAACTTTTGGTCACTATAGTAAGGCCAGATGCCTTCTGAGGCTCAGACTCAAACAGTCAGCCAGTATTCTTCCCTGTCCTTCACTCTCCACCTTCAAGTCCTCAAAGGAAAAAAAAAAAAAATATATATATATATATATATACACATATATATATATATGAAAGAATTTGTCTATCATTATCAAGCCCACAAAGTAAGTAAAGCAAATTGCCCATGATGAACTCAGTCCAGACAACTGTCTTGGATTCACTCATTCATTCAACAGAAATTCACTAAGCATCAGTGAATTGCCAATCTGTGTTAGGTCCTAGTAAATAAAGATAGAAAAAATGGTGTCCTTGCCCCCCGAGGAGCCCACACTTTAGGAATCACTTGTATATGCTGAAGTTGGGAGGGCCTGTTAGGTGTCTGACCAGCTCACATCCTGCATGGAACCCATAAAACAAAAACACTCGTACACTGCTGGTGGGATTGCAAACTAGAACAACCTCTATGGAAAGTAGTATGGAGATACCTCAAAGAGCTACCTCAAAGTAGAACTACCACTTGATCCAGCAATCCCACTACTGAGTATCTACTCAAAGGAAAAAAAGACATTCTATTAAAAAAGACATCTGCACTCGAATGTTTATAGCAGCACAATTCACAATTGCAAAGATGTAGAAACAACCCAAGTGCCCATCAATACATGAGTGGATTAATAAAATATGGTATATGTATACTATGGAGTTCTACTCAGTACTGTTATCCTGGGTGAAGCTGAACCCATTCTTCTAAGTGAAGTATCCCAAGAATGGAAAAGCAAGCACCAGATATACTCACAATTAAATGGATACTAATTGATCAACACTTATGTGCACATATGGGAAGTAACATTCATAAGGTGTCAAGCAGGTGGGAGGGGGGAGGAGGGGCTGGGTAAATCCACACCTAACGGATGTAGTGTGCACTATCTGGGGGATGGGCACATTCGCTGGTTGGTGCAAAGGCAATTTATGTATCCAAAGCGTTTGCAACCCCATAATACTCTGAAATTTAAGGAACTAGCCTACAGTGAGAGATGATGTGTATATTTATGTGTGTAGACATTCATGCATGTGTATTAGCACATCGTAGGCTTTCTAAACTTTATAAAAATTGCATCACAGCACTAAATTGACTTACAATGACACAATTACTGAAAAGTAAGTTTAGAACATGACACATTGGAAGCATCACCTGGTTGTCTGATCTGTACATTAGTATTATTAAATATTTTGTTTGGAAAGTGTGCATATTTAATTCATTAATTCATTCACTTATTGAATGACTATTTATTAAGAGCCTGCTATGTGCTGAGAATTGTTTGGCCTTCCAGATGTGAGTCATCTCTGTTGATTCAAACCTTCCTCGTCAATCTAAGCCAAGCTCCAATCTTACTCTCTCCATAAAGTAGGCCAGACCCTGACGTGTGGCCCTCTGAACTTCTGTACTAAATTCCATGCCACCTATGAGCACTTAAATAAAATTTTACTGAAGTCTACATGCATACAAAAAAGTGCCTCAGTTGATGTAATCACAATTGCATATACTCGTGTAAAACCAGCATCCCGATCAAAAACGCCAGAATGCAACCCGCACCCCAGAGCCCCCCAGAACCACTCGTCTCCATCCCCCAAATAAGGGGAGTTACTATCCTGACTTCCAACAGCACAGACTAGTTCTGACTGTTTTGTACTTCATATAAATGAAATCATGCCGTTTTTATCTTCAGGCATTTATGATGCATGGCCTGGATTGCTGCATTTTATAAATTTCATGTGTTTTCAATGACAAGAATGCAAGTTCCTTTATGTAACTTCCTGGTAGAAAAAAGCAGAATCTGGAACAGTGCCTTAGACAGAATACATTAAACTCAGTGCTCCTAAACCTGCTTAACTCACCCAAGCTCACAGAGATGTGGACGTAAGACCTTACCATGCACTCATCTGAGAATGGGGATCTATTTTTGTATCCTAGTCATAATTCCTAGACACCACTCCATGTGAGTGTGTGTGTGTGTGTGCGCACATGCTTCAGCGAGTAAAATTATTCTGGGTCAATTTATCACTGCCTAATTTAACCAGCATTTCTGAAAATGTTCGTGAGAATAAAAAAACAA